TTTTTTATAAATTAAGACATGAATTTCGGTGAAAATACATGATTATGCAGTTTCTCCGGGGGGTTGAAAACACCCGCATATATCCGGAGGCATGAAAATTTAGGGGGGTGAGGGGGTGGGGTTTAAAACTACATTGTTATGAAATTTACTTCTCGGGAATCATGCGCTGAGTTTTTATAAATTAAAATATGAATTTCGGGGAAAATACCCCGAAGAAACCGCATAGTCATGTATGTTTTCCGCAATTCATATTTTAATTTATAAAAACTCAGCGCATGATTCCCGAGAAGTAAATTTCATAACAATGTAGTCTCAAACCCCTCCCCCTCGCCCCCCTCAATTTTCATCTCGCCGGATATATGCGGGTGTCTTCAGCCCCCCGGAGAAACCGCATACTCATGTATTTTCCCCGAAATTCTTTTTTTTTTAATTTATAAAAAATCAGCGCATGTTTCCAGAGAGGTAAATTTCATAACAATTTAGTCTGAAACCCCTCCCCCTCGCCCCCCTCAATTTTCATCTCTCCGGATATATGCGGGTGTCTTCAGCCCCCCGGAGAAACCGCATACTCATGTATTTTCCCCGAAATTCATTTTTTTTTAATTTATAAAAAATCTGCGCATGTTTCCGGGGGCGATAAATTTTATAAAAATATAATCTCAAACCCCTCCTCCTCACCCCCCTAAATTTTCATCCCTCCGGATATAGGCGGGTGTCTTCAACCCCCCGGAGAATCCGCATACTCATGTATTTTCCCGGAAATTCATTTTTTTTTCATTTTTAAAAAATCAGCGTATGTTTCCGGCGAGGCAAATTTTATAACAATGTAGTCTCAAACCCCTCTCCCTCATCTTCCTTCAATTTTCATCCCTCCGGATATATGCGTCTATTTTCCACAGATATAAAAACCGAGCGGATAAATCAATTTATTTATTGAATTAATGAATTTTACAATTCGAAAATCAATGCATAAATAGATAGTTGTTTAGAAATTAATTTCCAATCTTCTTTTTAACATAATTTAAAATATGTATATTCATATAAATTCTGCCCTCCCCATCAACGGGTGAAAATCTCAACCCTCCGTATACATACCCTGCCCACACTTCTCACAAAGTTCAAAATTTTTAGATTCCATTATTTTATTTATATAATTATTTGATGCCCCTCTTCGCCCCTATTTGACCCGCAGTATTCTCCTCCTACATATCTATTTGCGATAATATTGTTCACGTAGGGCAATTGGG